CTTTTTTCTACAAATGTACTGGATTTAATTAGAGAAACACGTACAAACAATATACAATCTCCTCACACCCACTAAAAAGTAGACCGTAACTAACTTACTGGTAGCAAATTGTACGCCATAATTAAAGAACAGATTTCTAAGAAATTCCCCCACAAAGGGACGAACTGTAAAAATTCCAAATCCCTAGGGTTTTTTTAGGGCTTCGTCTCCGAGAAAACACGACGCATTGATCCAAAATCAAACGCCACAAAGGTAAAAAAAAAAAAATTATCAAAATTTTTTAAGAAGCTTTCGACTAACGGAATACTCAATTAAAAGACGCTGCAAACGCCATTCATTAAAGATGCTATCAATTGGATATTTCTTGGAACAATCCAGGATAATAAAGTCACTTAAATGTGGGGAGGAGAAAAGAAGATCATTCGATATCCTTATTTTAAAACAAATGTGCCGAATCCTAACAGAAAAATGAAAAACCAACCATCAAATAACGTATTAAATATTATAGAACAGTAAAATGAAACAACAAATCCTCCAGGCATAACCTGCCTTTCCTCAATCTTCACTAGATGGGGTAATGGGGGGAGAAAATTAAGGAGCTGTCAAGGTCTACGCCCCCCTGCAGAGCATTCACACCCCAACCCACCTATGCTGCCTCCCATAGGAGGGCCTCCACGTTGAATAATATGAATAGCAGAATATTATTGTTAGAGCTACGGGACTCTTCACAAATTGACTGAGAGACAATCTCACTGGAGATAAGTTTGAATTATCAGTATTGCCTGATACAGAACTATTACGACCCGCAAGCTTTTTTTATAGGGAGGAGAGAAAAAAATTTGCTCAACACAAGCATTAGCAAAATAATTATGTCGAAATTTATACATGTAATATATTTTTTTAAATTAGAAATATACATATTACATATAGATTTCTAATCCATATTACATATGGACTGTAAAAAGGTATTACATATGAAACAAGAATATTTTTTCTTGAATTTGAAATCTTGGGAAAAAATTATTTCAACTTAATGTAAACTGGAAGTGGGAGAAAAAGAAATTCACAATTATTCGAAATACTGAAAAGATTTTGTGTAAACAAATATTACTATATACCTATAATGTATATTTTTAAATTTAAGATACTTTATATCAAATAAAATTATTCAAATTATTTTTAAAAAATTTTTTGTGAAAATTTCTAGAACTATTATTTTGGACACTCCCTTCAATTTTTATTTCATTAATGAAAAAAAAAAAATTCATCTGCAAATATTTTACATAAGTAAAAGATTACATTTAATTTCATTTTGAAGAGATTAAATTTGAAAAGAAATAACTAGTTTTCTTATCGCTAAATCAACAATGAATAATAAAATTATTAGTAATAAATATCATCATCAGCCATTGAAAGCTTATTACGTACGTTTTATGTGCTATCTGCTAATCTTAAAAAATTTGATTTCTTGAGAAACATCTGATTTCGCTTAAATTTTGTAATTTGTTATACATAATTATATTCTTTAAAATAATCTTTGTATACCTTACTAATCAAATTTTTCCGACCAATATGAAATAAAATATTAAAAAGTAATAAATAATTATTAAATATTATTTTCTGCGGGGGGGAGGGGGAATTATCTTCCAATAAACGAATTTTACAATTAAGTGCAAAAATTTTTCGACCGCTTTCCTGACCTTATTTTTCAGATTGCGGCTACTTACCTTATTTTGAGAGTCAAAAATCGTATTTTTTTTAAAAAAAAAGGTTCGTTTATGAGGATCTGTTTTCGTTATTAAAACTATCGTTCGCACTAATTAATGAAGTATGTTTCTGGCCATCCCTTTAAACCATTGAGTCCTAGTACATGAGGATCCGATGACCAGATCAAATGTTATTTTTGGTATTTCATTTTTTTTATTTTGAGCACTGTATATCCAGTTAGCGAATTTCCCTGAAAATTTCTTGTTTTACTTTGGATTTAGTAAGAGTAGCTAGCCACCCTGTTTGTTTAATGTGATAAAAATTACATAATTCGCAAATATTTCTAAGAAAAAGAACAATTTCTGGTCAATTATCTTTTTTCCAAACTGTCCAACCTATCCCTAGCGTAATTTAAAAAATAGCATTTAAAAACCCCAACGCTAATTATACAAACACTTTAGTGCTGCAAATGTGAACTCCATAAAACTACATATAAGTACTTTTTGAGAGAAGTTTAGCACCTTTCCGTACAGCACTCAACATTGAAGATAGATATCTTCTGAATTGTGGAATTTCTGGACAGTTCCGGTCCGGAACAAATCAGGGTCATATCAACCACCCCCAACTATGCACAGGCACCTAGAGCAATACGCCTGTCAAAGACATGAGATTTATGACACACAGAGGCGCCACTCTGCACGAAATGTGCAGGGAAAAAAATTAAGAACGGGAAATCTAATATCAAATAATAAAAAAAAAGAGAGAGAGAATAGAATGTTATAAGCTGCAATACGGTGAACACACGCACCACCCATCGGTTAAATCTCAGAACATCCCCCCTGCTGTCATACCAATGCGCAAGGGGGAGGGACGTGATGGGAAGGAACGAAAAGTTCGAAGAGGAGAGAAGAAAAAGTTCTACAAGTCCTTATTATTAGTTTTTTTTTTTTCATCTTGCAGAAGGTGTTGTTGGATGAGATGCATGTAATAGAGTCTGGCGCCTTACATGAGAAAAAGATTTTCAGATAGTACACCTTGTGGATAATAAAGTGGGCGGAATGGGCTAGAGTTAAGATAATTTTTATATGCATGGCGCATGGTGCAGGTAGAGAAAGTCTTAAAAGGGTTTAAAGAACGATATTAGTCTTTAGATATTTAAACATGAAGGCGTCGAAAATTATGGTTCAGTTACCTTCAAACACGATCAACCAGTGCAAATACAAATTGTAATAGAGAAGGAATGGAACCACAATTCGAATCAAGATTGGATAGAAGTTAGCTCGCATGGGCGCAGGATTTTATTTTATTTTATAACCGTCGTTGAACAGCCGACCCAATTTTTTTTTTTGGGGGGGGGGGATNCTTCGTAGCCTTGTAATTTTGAACCCAATCCAGCAGACAAGAGAACTCTTGGATCAAGTATTGGGAGAAATTTGCCTTCGTGGAGGACTTTCTGATGGAACTAACCCACATTTGCGTTACATGGAGAGGAAGACCACGAGAACTGTGTCAGCACTGTGGTCGGTGCAAGCCGGAGGCGGATTCGTATCGACCAGCCATCGCTGGGATTCGAACTTAGTTTACCTCATTGGAAGGCGAACGCTCTATCCCCTGAGTCATCGCGGCTCATGGGTAAAGGATTGTTCAGAAATCGGGGCCAAAAATACAGGCAATAATAATAAAATTAAATTTTAAAAAAATCACATCATATGGCTATTCGTTAGAGGTGAGAAGGGCTCAGCGAGGGCCGGTTTATAGGGGGGGGGGGAGAGAAAGGTTTCTGGATCGGGCAAGTTAGGATTCATGGTAAAGAATATTTTTTTCTTTTTTCCTCGGTAATTCGAAAATGACCAACATTCTTTGGAGAGCGCGGATTTCGCTTTGGAGAGGCGGAAAAAATTTTCCGAGAAAATTTTAAGCATCTTCTGCAGTAGAATTGATTGACATAAGAAACATGGGGAAATACAGTAAATATAATATGATGTAGAATGATGTTATGAGTTGTCCTTGAATATAATTTATATTTCATCAGCAATCCTCTCTGGCGAACAGAATATCACTTCTTTCAATGGTAACAATAAGAAAAAGACATCAACGTACGGTCTATAAAGATAATAATGTTGAATTTCATTACGCTTATGATAAGTGTCTATACTGTGGAGCTTTAACTTGCCACAAAAATCTATCAAACAACTCAAAATATTTCTCTTCTGAGAGTTAATTTCTTAAAAAGTTTATGCATAAATATCTAAAATATATTTTCTTTCATATAAATTCAATTCATCTAACTTAATTAATGCTTTTAGTGAATTAATTTAAATTATTACATAAAAATAAAAAACTTTAACTTTTAGCATTATTTGCATATGGCAGAATATTTTTAAAGGGCAGGGGTCTGTCTAGACATTTCGGGAAAGGTCCTTTTTTGTAAAATTGGGAAAAAATTACTCGTAATTGGTGAATATAAAATAAAGGTTAAGTCACATTTTTTCAACCAGGGTCCGCTTTTGTAAATTTGTGCAAATAGGGTCCATTACTGCAAAAAAACTTTTTCAAGGAGTTTTTAAATTGTAAAGACATACAAGATTATGCTCAACACTGTAAAATTATAATTAAAAAAATTAAATTTTAAAAAATAAACAGCAATTGCAGCTACTAAATTAGCGATGACAATAATATAAATATTAAGTATTTAGACATATAAATATTTGGTATTTAGCCTATACTGCTGGACGCTGAATATTCATTTCGGACGAATAAAGGAAGACAAAAAGACAGAAAAACAAAAAAACTGCCAAAGACAAAATGTAGTTCGTTTACATCTGTCTTCCCCCCCCCCCTTCCTGAGAAGGGCTTATTCGATTAACAAAACAATAATGAAGATAAACAAATTTGTGAAAGGTCCGATTAAAAGATAAATTATTTTGTGAAAGATCCGTTTTCAAGTTAAAATATTTTGTGAAGGGTCCGTTAACGTACCCAAATTTCTTCAGACAGACCCCTGATGGGTAGATCTTTACTCAAACAATAAGATATTTTTTTAAGCTATAAAACTGTCCAAAAGGTTTCTCGAATCGAGTTTCTCTTCTACCTCATAATTTTTAATTCTAATTTAAAAGAAGAAAAAAAACTCCGACACCAAGGAGGATAAATTACATTTCGAAGTGAGCATTTGCTTTATAAATAAGGAAAAAAATAATTTTAAAATATTTTCTGAGTGACAAAATTGAATTAAAAATATTGTCTAATAAACTGGAAGTTTGAAAGTTGAATTTTAAAAAAATTACACTCACAGTTCTGTTAGGTTATGGAGACCACTGAGAGAAGATTCCCCGATAGATGCGATGTCATTATTCTGTAAATCCCTAGAATGAAAAATTAAAAAGTCGTTAAAAACAAAAAACCAACAGTAGTATGAAAGAAATGAAAACAAACATTCGTAGAAGTTAACAAGGATAGAAACATACAAAATAAAATAAAGTTAGTTCCCAAAAGAAAATTTCTTATGGTCGATTTATATTTATTGAATAACCCAGATTTATTTACCCAGCATGAGAAGGGAATTTTTTTCCAGCAGTTACAAAATATGTTTAAAATATGTTAAATTAAAACTGATCTTGACAAACACTTCATATCTAACTAATTATAAAAATCTACTAATGATGGCGTAGCAGTTTTCCAGTGTTGTCGGTGGATTCTCATTGGCCGGAAAAATCACATGGCAGAATCCAGTTTTCCAACATTAAATTTCATATTTTTTTGGTTGTCATCAGCATAAAAATTAATAAGTCATAACGGCATTGTTTTTCTGTAAAATAATTCTGCAACCTAAATTTTATGGTATTTACCAGCAATATTTACTTTTCTCTATTATTATTACGTTTGTGATTTTGATTGTTTTGTAAATTTAAGAGTTTAAAGCGAAACGAGTTGTTTCTTTAAAGTAATTCCATATCTTAATTGCGCTATATTTAAAGATTAATTTATTTGAATTTGTGCTTAAACTTATTAACCGTTTCACAATTATTATATTTCGGTGCAAATTCTATTAATATGCTATTCCAAATTACCGTTGAAGAGTTAAAAGTAATTTAGAGCTTACAATGTGATGAATGCACAAACTCTATTAATATCAGCTTGTTTTTATAACGAAAATATTCAATTACGGTTCTGAACTCTCCAGATTTATCTCAGAGATACAACTATAATTTTATATGTTATTATAAAATTTTAACCCCCTACTATATTACATAAAGATATAAATGAACCATTATTTTTAAAAGTAGAATAAGTCCACTCGGAAACTAACATAGTTTGATATTAAGATTTAACTATAATTGCATTTTAAAGTTTGATCAAATTATAGCATTAAAAAATATCACCCAACCCAATTAACCTTTTAAAATGTTCTTAATTTCGATCAAATGCTAATCTTTAAATATCTTGATATTGGAATTTTTACTTCTAATTTTTCAAATGAAAAGTTAAAAAAAAAATTCTAACTTTAAAGACATTAATTAAAATAATTTTTATACACAAAATCCCTTCCAGTAAGTCAGTATTACTACTCCCGGGGGAAAAGAGAAAATTTTGACGAGGGGGCGGCGGACATATATTTATAGTCAAGTTCTCATCCCCCCTCCTCTTTTTTTGTAATTTTTAAACACATGAGCATATAAATATCCATATCCTTCCTTGGCTACGCCCCTGATAAGAAACGTGCTTCCAACTAAGCACATGGTGAAATGAAATTAACTTTTATAAGCACAATTCACAGCTAAAATATCCAAAATTAAGATTTTAAGAAATGTTGAGGCAAGAGAGAAAGCTCATTAGTGTATGAGGAACAAATTATTTATCCACGACCCATTTAAAATTTCAGATGTTCCTTTCACAACCCTCGAACAATAATGAAACAACAACATATAAAATAAAATATAATAGGCAGATATAAAAGGCTGCTTGACACCGGTTATCACCTATGTAATATGTCACGCCTCTGAATCTAGCAAGTCAACCCACCCAAGGACCGCATCTGTTGGAATCACGAAACAGCCCCTAGGCTTACTCGTTTTAAAAGTCTTACACGTTCTCATAGAAATTTATTGAAAATCTTTTAGCTTCTCAGTCGCTCCATTTTTTATTATTATTTCTGTTTCACAACTTTTCCCTAAAAAAAAAAATGTGGGTGGAAAAAATATGAATGGACCATTTGCCGCCACTAGTCTGTTTTAAAATATCATATATTCACAAGAATTGAAAAATTGACAAAATAAAAAGTTTATTGTGGCACAAACCTCTAGAAAAGGAATGCATTGTCCGGAAAAAGACATAAAAAAGTACAGATTTAATAACTATAAGCAAAATTATCTTCCGGTAAAAAAATCATCCAACAAAACTTTTTTGGAAAATATTCATGCAAAAAAGGAAAGTAAAAAAAAAAAAAAAAAACTATGTAATTGTAGCAAATCTTCCTCCCTAGCATTTAACGTCCTCAGACGTCATAATTAACGTTTAAAAATCAATAACTTTTCATAAATGTCCTACAGCCAAATATGTGTTTGCTAAAAATATTTGCTCGTATAATAAAAATAATAAGATTTTATCGTTATTGGATGCTCTTTCTAGAAACGTCGACACGTGCACCCCTCTCCTTGTAGTAATCGTAAAACGTGTGCACGAAACTAAGTATGCAAAAAACTAAATAATCATATTTATTAAATTGTTGTATCTGTTGTTGCTAAAAACGGAATAACACTTTCATTTACAAATAAAAAGTATGCAAAACATGAATTCATATATCATACTAAATCCGGTGTTCTGCCTAAGTGTTTTTAGAAGGGCGACCTGCCCTTAGATCCCTATAAATGCGACCGCCCTATTGGCCCTTATTGTAAAAATAAACCGTCATTCCTTAAAAACATAGCCTTTTTATTTATATCACATTTTTAATAAAAAATAATTAACTGTTTTAATAATAATGACACAAAAAAATTTTCTATGTTTACAGGTATAATCTGATTACTATTACAAAGTTACTTTGTTAGGAATATTCTCCACTGGTAAAATTTCTTACGTTTATCTTTCTTTCAAAGTAGTTTACTAATAAATTTTTTTAAGTGATTTTAAATATTTATTTAAATCTTTTATGCTGTTTATCAAAAAATTGTATTTTCAGATTACGTTTTTGAAAAAAAAATGTATGCATAGATATTGTCTGTTAGGATGCCTTTATTATTTACAAACTGCGAATTTCTCGGATTTAGACAATGAGTAAACATTACTTTTTGAAATATACACATAAAATAGTATATGATAGTAACTTAAAAATTGTTGAGGATCAAATTCAGTTATTAAATGACATTTTGATCAATTTTTAAGGTGTTAAGTGAATGGCCCTTAAAGACGTAGAAACTTGAAAGTGACGTGACGTAGTTGGACAGCAAAGGGTACAAATAATATTACAACCATACACAATATGGGCACAAAAATATTATTTTATGACAATAGACCTACATTCAGCAATTCCAAGTCTAGTCGAACACGAACTAACAATGGGATGATAATCCACGGTTTGGCTGAAAGCTGAAGAACAACTTTTTGTATGCATTACTGCAGTACTATGCAAAATTTGTATGAATTATTATAGCATTTTGGAAGGAATATCATAATAAACATAGCTTTTATTTGCCATAAAAAATTACGTCCTATAAAATTGATATGATGACCCATTATCCTGGCTTTTCTTTTACAGGCTAAGTTATTTTATAACTTTCGGCCACAAAGCGAATAATCCATGGATAAATGTGAATTGACTGTACTTTATTGCTGAATCAAATTTCAGTTATTATTTGAAGTAGAAAATAAAATTCCAAAATGTAATTATTTTTAATTTTGTGCCGCTATTTTTAAGCCACTACTTTTAAAGTAATGGAGCATCTGTTCACACAAATAATGAGAAAAAAATGGATGAACTATTTTATGGTATCACCAGTTACAAATAAAAAACGTTTCATTTTTTAAAAAAAAGCTATCTTCAGAAATCTACAAAAAGTTCGTCGAGCCAGAATAAAAAGAAATTTCCTTTCAAAAAGCAGCATAATATGCGATAGAAAGAAACTTACCGCCACGCTTCTTTCTACCTTTCTTTTAATTTCATAACGATTTCATTTTTAAATCAATGTTATCCAAAATTTTATAAATAACAAAAAAAAGTATGTTTGCTTTAGAAAGTGTCTAAATTTTACAGAAACAGAAAAACCGAAATTTATTCATCATATGTAGAATCGCCCTTTTTATAAAAAAATAAAATAAAATTAACAATCAAAAATCAAAGAACGGAATATAGTGCAAATGGTAGGGCTAGTCGAAAAAATAAATAATCTTTTCTTTAATCGACTAAAAAAGAAATTAATCATTTAGTCCAAAAAACAACAAATACAGAAGAAAACATAATAATAACACATTAAGTTGTAGCACGAGAAACTTTATTTATAGCAAAATCCTAAATTTCATGACGGTAAAAATTTACCGCTATAGATACATATTCACTTAAATCTATATTTTGACAAATTAAAAAATAAACATACATACTACAAAATTTAGGTTTCAAATTCAAAAATGGAAAGTAGCAACAAAAAATTACCTCTATAACATGGAAGTTTTATCAGCATTAATTCTTTTTCAAGTTTCTACAGAGTTAAGTTGAAAATTGAAAAACATGCGCATGCGGTAACGAAAACTAAAAATTTCATATAGATTCCTAACTTAAACACGAAAAGTTGTGTCATACTTGTGCTTTAAAATTTCTTTTTTTTGAAATTACAAAAAGCAAAAAGAAGAAAAAAGAAATTGTTCCGGAAGAACGAAATTTCTTTTAATCTGACAATTATTTATTTTTAATTATTTTACTTTTTTGATAAACATGCTTCGACCTTTGTGATAAGTACAACCTGGATTTGAGTGACCTAAAAAATTTTCTTAAAAATGGCAAAAAACGCTTTTACACTATCATAAAATATTCTTAAAATAAAAAACATCTTTGATAATATTGTTCAGAGTTTCAATATAAAAATAATTAATGTAGTTTTTGAGCTGTGTGGATTCGTCAAGGATCGGATTGTGGATTCAGTCAAAAGCGTATTTTTAAAAAACTGACATAATTTAGAATTATTCTATTTCCTAGAGAAATTGTAATGCATTAAATTGTAAAGCTCAGTTAAAATGTGTGCAAGCTGTAAGAATGAGGCAGTACTTATAAAAATACCCTATGCCTCCCCTCCCCCAAAAAAAGATACCCCGAAACCTCAAAAAATGCCTCAAAGAACAAAAGAACCCAAAAATGCAAATGTCATCAAAACCTGTG